ATTTATAGTTTATTAATTTAATTTCACAAAAGTTTCATTAGTTGACAAAAATGTAACAATTTCAACGAAATATGTTTTATATTGAATTTTTTCTTTTTTTTTCTTTTTATTATGTAATTCTTTATTTTACAATTCTAATGATTTTGGTTAACAGTTTTTAATTATTATACAATAATTTATTGCGGTTCTTATCGATTTGACTTAATAACAATATATATGTGTTCTTACAATATATATTTGTTCTTCATAATTGCAAATTTGTCTTAATATTTACTGCATGACCTTTTACTTGGAGAATAGTTCTTATCTGAGCGACACGTCGTACACGGACGTGTGTTTTAAAAATGTGTAATTTCTATATTTGATTTTAACATTTCTACTTTTTAAATTTTAACATGTTCAATAAAGCTTCAGTGCAATGCTTCATGTTCCGTGATGATAAGTCATTTAAATTGTTTACGCATATATCACTCTAATAATATTTATTTAAAAAAAAAATATCAAATTAACGTTGCAACTTTGTCAATTTGCAAGTGACTTAAACATTATGGACATGTGAGCTAATTATACTTGCATCATTCTTGCTGAAGAGGACTCCAAAGAGAGTCGAAACGTTCAAAATAAAGACATCAATCTAACATCTGATTAATGATTGTTCACTAAATAATTGCGCCGTTTATCATTGCTGACTCTCATTAGTCTACTACAGAGTGTGTCACCAAAATCCAATTTTCAATTTAAATTTTCCGCTATATTGTGCCTTCGCCAGAGATTGTTGTTGACGTCTGAGAAAGCCTAATGCTTCTAGTAAACAATCATATTCTTAAAATGGTCGCGATGTTGAAACCAAGTGCGGAATATAATCGAAGAGCAGCGATCATCGAAGGCCTTCGCGCTGGGCGCTCAGCAGAATTAATTCGATTCTTTAGATACCCGAAATCAACCGTTTATGACGTTGTGGCAAAATATATGGCTTTAGAACAGTCCAATCAAAGTTCCAGTATGTCAGCGAGAAAGAGTCACTCGAAAGAACGCACCGCGAGGACTCCCGCAGTCATTGAAAGAGCTCAAGCGCTGATTTTGGATGACCCAGGGCAAAAATCGTTGCAAAAATTAGCATCAAATGTTGGTGTAAGTGAACCAACAATGCGTCGAATTGCCAAGGAGGATCTTCGGTACAAATCGTACACATTAAAGATACGATAGATGCTCTTTGAGGCTACCAGGACCGAATTGCTCTCCTCGGCTCTCATTCTGGCCTCCCAATATCCAGATTTAAATCCCTTGGACTATTATGTATGAAGCATAGTTGAAAGGGTCATAAACAAGCAACTCGGCATCCCAATGTAATGTCATTAAGGACCGCTATTGAGGCAGCATTCGTTGGCATGGACAGCACTATATTACAGCATGCGTGTGAACACTTCAGATGAGAGGCCGTCATTCAAGCTAATGAGGAATATATCGAATAATTGTGCTCTACAGGGATCTCTTAAGTGCCATGTAAGGATTTTTTATAATATTTAATTTTTCATTAAAAACATTTTGTTTAAAGAAATTGTTCGATTTGTCCGGATTTTGATGCACCCTATATATATTTATCTTTTGGATTGTTTAAAATTCGAGAATCCTAATACAATTATTGTTATATTTTTCAACTTTATAATAAAATACCCGCAAATTTGGTTTGTTGGACTTAAAATTATAAACTATCACAAATTCATTGATCATCAATTTAATAATAATGCTAATAAGCATTTTAAAACATTACAAAGAAGTTATTACAAAATCCTTAGCTGGAAACTTATAAAATAATAATCGAATGAAAAAACGTTTTCGAAATAAAATTTATGATATTATATATAGGATATACAATATTATGATCCGAAAATAATTATATAAGAAATAATTAATTATGTAATTTATAAACAAAGAAAATATCTATTTTTGATTATATCTTTTTATATAAAATAATTGTAATAAATTATATAAATCTGTATGAGCATTCTGATGAAATAATAAAGTTGTAACATTGAAATAATAATTATATTATAATGTAAACCCATTTTCAATTTGAGAAATGTGAAGAGACGTATCGAATGTAGCTATACACGAATAGCGATATTAAACAAAGAATATTTAGGATGCAGAAAAACTATATACTATTCAGACAACGCTCCCGAGAAATGTAATTTAACGCGGACGGATGATATGCAGACGAATTCTCGAAACAACGAGAGGAACGAAATGTATTTTCATATACTTCTTTCGCAAAAAAATGATGAGACCACATACTCCAAAAATACAAATGACGTAGATAAATTTCATACATAAATTGAACGTTTTTGTAGCAATTTTTTCCTTTTTATACCTCCATAAATTTTTATAAACATAATTAATGATATTAAGTATGTGTATGACTAATAGAAATATTTATTTAGATTTATTTCATTAATTATTGATATTTAAATAGCGAATGATCGATTGTAAATTGATAATATATTTGCTATAAATGTAATACAAGATTTAACAAAAAATTTTAAACTCTTAACTCCCTTTCAGAACAAAAACAAATTTCGATAGTTGTTTTTGCAAATTCTTTACTGCATAGTAATAAACTGTGTGATGATACTCAGAGTTAATAATTAATAAGTTATTACAATTAAGTAATAAGTTTAATTCAAGAAAAATTGTGTCAATAAATACTTTCTTTGATTCGCCGTTTATTTGCTACGAGAAAGTTGAAACAGAAAAAAGATTGTCAGAGGCTGGAAAAATAGAGTAAAAAAGAATGTTTTTAAAGATAATGCCGTGAATGCTGGACAGCTCCGTCGTCACATCGTGACGTTGCTGTTCTCATTCCTCGTGCAATTAAACAGAAATGACGAAAAAACTTGGCGACGGAGCGACTGAATACCAGTCAGGAATAGTCTGCATATTAAGAGAGTATATATGTCATGAAAAGAACGTGCAATAACCTTTTGTGAACCGACGACCCATTTGTGGTTAGCCCTTTTTATTTTATAAACTTCTTACTCAATTTTTATGAAACATGGCTTATGAAGTAAATTGTTAATGGTTTGAATCTGAAGTCAAAAATAAAAAAATTCAAAATGGTGGACTTAATATGGAAAGATTATTTTTCATCAGATTATTTTTAATTAGATTATTTTTTAGAAATTTGAATTTTAGATTTCTGAGGCCAGAATCGAATTTAGCAACCCCGAAAACTTTTAGAAAGTAAGATCTTCCATAAGTTAGAATCTCTGGTCTTATCCTCAAAGGATAAAAGCGATAAGTCGCGAATTAAAGTACTTGGTTACCGATGACCTCGGAATAAAGCACGAGAAAAGTATTCACGTCCTTCGCAGTGTCCATGTTATAAAACTTTTCTTCAAATAAAATTTAATATATTATAATATATATTTGAATGAAGAGGAAAAAAGGCTGGTAAATCGTTTCGCATTTTTATTTCGTAAAATTCATTTTGAAAATAAATTCTTAAATAAATTAGATTTTATTTATTTAGAAATGGGAATATATACACTAAATATATAAACAGAAATTTACGCACTTTTATTATAATTTATAGTTTAATGTTGATCTAATCAACTTTATTCTAAGTGAATAAGACAGATTAAATAAGCCTCTATGGTAGGAAGAAGGGTGAGGAGGAGGGAGATTAAAGAGCAAAACTGTTCATATTTTACATTCTTTAAATATCTCAAGATAAATGTTTGTGTATCATCGAAATTACCCTTCATGTCGACAGCTAATTAATTATTCCAATCGGCGCAAACGATTAATCCGCCAAATCCATATAATATAATAATATGAAACTTGTTTAGAGAAACTTGTTTGGAAAATGAATGCCAGTCTTATTTCTTAAAATTGTTCTCCACCTCTTTCATTTTCTGCCGTTATTTGTCACTTTCGTGACCTTTTTGAAAAGTAATAATAATTTGCTTCAAAAACATTACATTTTTGCCAAAACTTGCACTAGAATCGCTTTTCATAGTGTATTAATTTGGATATTTTTCATTAAACTTAAAAATTAACTGACTAATGCTTTTAGAGGAAATACACTAAAATATCATTTTTCATTTTTCAAAAATATTTTTACGTATTGCTATGAATTTATTTTCGTTATTTTTGATTATGTACATAAATTATTTATTTTAAATAAATATATATTTTATATATATTCTGCGAATATAAAATAATTCTAATTTTAGAGAAACTTTTGTTTTAAAAAATATAATAGATTTTATAATAGATTGTATAATACTGCAAAAGATACATTCGAAGATACTATAATATATTTTCTAAAAATCAATGTATCATAG